ATCAATCTAGACAAATAACTAAAGCCAACATATTTCAGAAAGCACGTGGTGGCTCAAGCAAGTCAGTAGTCAGGAGTAGTCAGGAATACTGATTTCCAGATATTGACCTCTATCTGTCATAATACCTATCAGTTAAGCATTATATGCACAATACACTGCACTGGGGTTGAGCAGAGAATGCTTTTTGATATCCCATGATGCATCCTATTCTTTCTAACTATGGTTATGTCCACATGGCAGTTAATAAATCATACATGCTTAAACTGCTTCCACACTTATAGATGCAATAACTATGCTACCAGCACTCAAAGATCATTCTGCTGTTCTCATTGACAATTTAATATATTATTAGTAATTGGAGAACAACAGCTGGTTAAGAAAAGAATACAGGTATATCTGGAATTTACATACAGTGTTTTAAAGTAGTTGGTGAGGATCAAATGAGATAATGTGAAAACACTTTTGAACTTGAATGTGTTATATGCAGATGCAAGTTCTTACAACAACATATAATCATAGATGTATGTATACTTTTTAAGGACAATAACAATCTTTATAAAAGTTTTTTCATAAAAAGCATAAAATTACTTCTAGTATTTTGCATATAAAATGAGAGTAATACAATTTATGTCATTCCAAATGTAAGCACTAACTGGTGCTTTCAGTTTTACAGATGAAAATGCGAAATAAATGTAGAACTATATACCACACCTAAACATATTTATAACTTTGGTTCAGTCTTTTTTTTTTTTTCTTTTTTTTTTCAGACAGTCTCAGTCACCCAGGCTGGAGTGCAGTGGTGCGATTCCAGCTCACTGCGACCTCTGCTTCCAGGGCTCAAGCATTTCTCATGCCTCAGCCTCCTGAGTAGCTGGAATTACAGACATGAGCTACCACACCCGGCTAATGTTTGTACTTTTAGTAGAAACGGGGTTTCACCATGTTAGCCAGGCTGGTCTTGAACTCCTGACCTCAAGTGATCCGCCTGCCTCAGCCTCTCAAAGTGCTGGGATTATAGGCATGAGCCACCACACCAGGCCTTGGTTCAATCTTACGATAGGAGTCTCCTAAAAATGATTTTAAAATCTTTGTAGTTTTTAAAAAGTTTCCAAATCACCATTTCAATATATAAAACTTACAGATTAACAAGAACTGTTCATTTAAATACACACAACCCTGATTACTCTGTTGTCCCCAATAATGCTCCAAGGAGGAAGCAATAAATTAGCCAACAACTCAATAGGGTCACCACAAATGAAAGGACGTCTGTATTATTCAAATTATCTACCTTAAGAAGAATTGCAAGAAGCAAATCTAATTCTATTATATGGTAACAGCCAACTAAGAAGCAGAAAATAAAGGGCCCAGATCAAAATTCAGAAACAATCACAACTTCAAAATTTTCCCTCTATTATTACTTAAAATTCTGGAAAATTGAGTGTTATATTTTAAATGCCATATTCAAAAACCTTACAGTTCAACATAAACTGACCAAGAAGCTTCATGTACAGATTCTTTTTTAAATGACATTTCAGATCAGGATACGTCAATACTTAACTGCCAGCAGCTTTAAGAAAAAAGCACCTTCCTTTGTGTTCAAAATTACGAGTAAAACACTAAACATTAAATCAGACGACTGTTTCAGAAAACAGAAGGCAAGGATTTCTAGAATATGTAATTTAGTGTAAACACGGAATCATATGATTGTTTCAGAAAACAGAAGGTAAGGATTTCATTACTACTACTAATAGTAATGAAATGTTGAAGAAATCCAATTTATCATTACCTTAATATTATTCTGGATAAATTAAGTATTAATGACAATCGGTTCAAATGCAAGTATACATATGAACAAAAAGGCAGGATTTTTGTCTCGTATATGCAGTATACGTGGCCATGCAACCCCAATTTACTATGTTGATATCCTAGTTAACACTTCATTGTACATTTGTCTTTCCTTTTCATACCTCAATACACCTTAAGTTTGTAGTACTGTTATATAATGTAATATTCCAGATAAATCAAGATGATATTATTTATTAATATTTTGCCCTAAATTTCAATCCAAAACATGCAGCTAAATCAAGGACCACACTTTATAAATCCATCATTCCAATGGCAATTTAAAAAATACCTACCCCAGGCGGGGCACGGTGGCTCACGCCTGTAATCCTAGCATTTTGGGATGCTGAGGTGGCCAAGGTGGACGGATCGTGAGGTTGAGAAATCAAGACCATCCTGGCCAACATGGTGAAACCCCATCTCTACTAAAAAATACAAAATTTAGCTGGGCATGGTGGCGTGCACCTGTAGTTCCAGCTACTTGTGAGGCTGAAGCAGGAGAATCGCTTGAACCTGGGAGGCGGAGGTTGCAGTGAGCCAAGATCCCGACACCGCACTCCAGCCTGGCGATAGAGCAAGACTCCATCCAAAAAAAAAAAAAAAAACCCTACCCCAAGAAAAAGTATCCCATCTCTTCTACAAAGAAGTCACTCAAAATCAGCTCAGCTGTGAAATAATTTTAATCAATATTACTGACAAAACTAGCAATCAAACCAACACTGCACATTCCCTTCTCAGTCACTACACGTCTGTTCAAATTATCACTCAATGCTGCCCATCTTCCCTTACAAAGAAGTCCATAGACATGTAAAAGAAAACCATAGTATCTAAACTATAATGTTCAAACAATAGAAGAAACTCTGTGTACATAAAAAAAATAAGAAAATATAACAGAAAATATTTAAAAGATAGATTAAAATTGAGTATATGTAAGAATTAACAATTTTTTTTAATTCCTTAAAGGTCAAGCCTCACCAGTAATGAAAAAAAGCTACCTAAGTCAACCAAGAGCTACTGACATCTATTAAATATTAAAGAAACCGAATGATTTAAAACTATTAAAAAACTCACTCTAAATACCTAGATTATGACATTATAAATTCGTACAGTCTTCTGGAGAGCAAACAATATACGACAAGAGCTATAAAACTCATGAGACCCTTTGAACTGGTAACTCCACTTTAGGGAATAAAGTCCAGGAAAATAACTGGGGGCAGAAGGGATAGGGGAGAAAGTGAAAAGCAGAAAAAGACCACCTAACTATGCAAAGTTATTAGTAAAATACGTCTGGAAGTAGCTCAAATGCTCAGCTGGAAGCTTGGTTCAAATTATATAGTACCTTATATACAACTGAATTTTTTCTTACCATTAAAATAATGATGAGTATTCAAATACACAAGTACATTTTTCAATGTTAAGAAAAATATGAAGCATAAAATGGACACTGATCACAATTATGTAAAAATATGTCTTTACAATATGAGGAAAAGTCTAGTAAACTGGGTGGTTGGGGTTTTTTTGGTCAGGAGACTCTATTTTTTAATTACTTTGATTTTCATTTCCTTTTTATCACCGTCAAGTTAGTTTCAAAAAAGCTTTTTCCTTTTAATCTCCTTTGTCACTTGCTTAAAAAAACACATATAGGCTGTGAGAGGGACAAATGTAAAGGAAAACATTTTCACCTCAGTATTGAAACTATATACAAAAACCTGTAACAGTCATTAAGTGTTAAAACATATTAGTAGGCATTGTTGTTTTTGCCTCTTTTAGGGGGAGGGAAAGACTTAAGTCCAACAGAAAGACTGACTACAAATTAACCTGGCAGTACATGAACTTTTTCAAAACTAATTTTTCTCCATCTGAGAAATTGTTACTAATAATAGTACAGATGGTCGAGTTTACCCTTATCACAATTATGCCATTTTCTGTGACTTGCAAAATATAAGAAAACTATACAATCGATAGACTTGATAAAAATGTGGCCTCACTGTTATAATATAAACAAAAATAACAAAATGAACACTAAAGCAATTTAAATATAGTCCTATTGCAAGCAAATTTTAAATCATTTATATTTAGAGTCTACCATACACCTCCAACTTTCTTTAACTTTGTCCGATTTTCCTCCACTTGGATCTTATTTGAAGGAAAGATAGCTGAATTTAGATTTTAGTAACATCATTCCTTTCTCCTTTCACTACCCTCCAATGCACTGTGGCAGCAGCTAACACAAGGGAACCTCCCCCGCAAAATAAAAAGGATCACCTGTTTTTGTGTGTCAATGCTGAATACAAAGTATATTTATACTATGAATTATATTTGCAGAAGAAACAACGCAGACAATCCAATGCCTTTGGTCCTTCACTAAAGTATATTCCATTTTCAAATATGTCCATTGTTGTCTCCCTGTAAACCCAAAATCATGTTTCACCAATTCTCAAAAAGTGATAACTCAGTTTTTATTTAGTGAAAACGGGTCTATGAATATGCGACTTAACTGGTGATTGAATGAGCTTATAAAATCAGAGATACATAACGATTATGCTTTTACTCAGTAGACCATCACCTAACCGGCAAAATTTGAAATTGGCTTGACGTTCCTTATTATTTTTAACTATGTCGTTTTACCTAATCCCTGGTCCGTCAATTCCCCTCCAGAGCCCCTTCCTCCCACGCCTCCCCCTTAACCCCCCCCCCAAAAAAAGACCAAGCCTGGCCTTAGTTCCCGTATTTCAGGCCAGGACCAACCAGAAACCAGTTTTCTTCCACTAATCCGGAACTCCGGGCTGTTACCAACGCTGTCATTGGCCAGCGTCAGACCTTAGTACGTGCCCCAAGATAACCCCTTGGTTTCTCTCCCTTTTCCGCCTACAATGGGCCTTCCCCAATGTTTGTAACATATTCATAATCCACAACACGGCACCTCTGATAATCAACTCACATTCTTCAAAGTTTTCGGGTGGAAACAAGCAGGGCCAAGGGGAGGGCAAGGTACCCTTTTTCCGACTAGCAGGGATGGGGGAAGGGGCAGTCGTTCTTTGGCTCTGCACTGAGCTCTAGAACCTCGTCGGCTGAGAGGTGGGGAGCGGGTTGGGGGTACAAGGTGGGGAGAGAGTGGTGAAAGAGTTAGGTTAAGTTGAAATGAAAACTTTACTCACCAGATCCTCGAAGCTTCTTCGGTGCTCTTTCCCCTCCCAATCTAAGCGGCGCGGAATCAGCTGGGGGCCGGACGAAAAGAAAGGGGGAAGGGGGGGGCAAATGATGAAGGAAAAGCCTCCGCTCCCCATCAACTGGACCCAACCTGTGTCCCAGCCTCAACACTTTAGCGTCTTTATTTCTCTCGGCCTGATAGCTATTGGCTCAGAGCTAGACGAGTATATGGGGGGGAAGGGGGGCCGCGGAGAAGGAAATCCTGAAAAACCGCCTCCCACAAGCATAAAGCGGAGACGAGTTAAGACCCCAGCGTTGTCTGCCCCTTTTGAGGGAAGAAGCCAATTCACCCCGGTGACAACAGCAACGGGTACCCAGATCGAAGCCTCTATCCCGGCCAGTCTTCCGCCCCTGACTTGCCCTCCCCTTCTCCTCCAGTCTCACCTCAACCCTCCCCACCCTTCCCGAAGGGGCTCCGTACCTGATGCTCCTCGAGCTCCTGCACTAGCACCTGAGCAAAAGGGAAACACAGATATGAGGAGCAGCTCGGGCCAACAACCCATTCCTCCCTCCACACTTAAAGCCCAGCCGCTGACTGTTTGACTAGTCAAGGCCGGCCTATCCCTCACCCTCAGCGGAACTGCTCGTCCCGCTGCCTCGATTTCCCCACTGGGATCATTCACCACGACTCCCAGATCTCTTTCTTCCCCTTACCTGAGCGGATTTGTTGCAGGGTCCAGACTGCAAGAACCTAGCGATCAGGTAATACAGCTCTAGGGAAGAAGGGGGAAAAGAGGTTGAGAGGGATGAAGAGAAGAGAAATAGAAGCTTTTTCAAAAGAAACTGACAGCCTTCGCGCTAAGCCCCCATTCCCTTAGCACCCCCCACCCCCCGACACAGCTACCCACCGGCTTCGATCTGGGTAGGTGCCGCCGCCATCCTTTTCCCGAGGGGGTTTGGGGGCTTCGCTCCGGAGGGGCTGGCGGGGGCGGGTGGGGGCGCTGCCTCTATTGTGGTGAAGCCCCCATGCCCGGGAGTCCCGCCGCTTCCGCCGCACTCCTCGTCCTAGTTTCGCTCTCTCTCGAATTCATCGCATCACGTTTCGACCCATAGATATTCTAGCCCAAGAGCTGAGGAGGCGGAGGAGGAAGGAGAGAGAGGAGAGGGAGAGGGAGAAGGAGAGAGTGAGTGAGAGAGACAGAGAGAAGAGAGAGGGAGAGAGTACAGAGAGAGAGAGAGAGAGAGACGCGGGGGGGGGGGGGGGCGGAGAGAGAGAGAGAAATAGACGGAGCGAGAAGAAGAGGGAGGAGCCGAAGTGGCGAAGAGGTGGGCGGGGGCAAAGGGGGTGGAGAGAGGGGAGGGTAAAAATGGTGATAGGGTTTTGCAGTGCTCATAGTTCCCCGCTAGAGGCACTAATACAGCAGCCGAGCCTAGACTCTCCCGGAGCCCGATGGTTGCTTAGCTACAGCTCTGGGAAAGAGGGGGAGGTGCTAACTGACGGCCGACGCTCTGGCAGCCGTCTTGGAACTCTGTGGTGGCATTCGCGTCTGCGAGCTCCGGAGTGACTTGCCCTTCCTGTGAAGGCAATCCGGCCCTTTCCGGTGGAGGACCCTTCCCCCTGGGTTGATCCTGAGGAACTTGAGAGAAGGTGTTTTGACTCGACTCCTTTCCCCTTTTTCCTCCAGGCACCAAAGCGGTTTTATTTGTTTGTTTACACTCTACCCCGTGGAAAGGCGGCTAGCTGGCTAAAGGGTTTTATGCCTGGGGGAGGATAAGAGTCGCTATTTGGTCGTGACTTGTTTCTGTTTAAAATTATTAGTAGTAGTAGTAGTAGTAACCAAATGAAAATGTTGTACTTACCAGTCAAAAATGCGGGGCTTATATTGTTAGAAGACCACTTAAAATGCTCCCGGATTCTGACAAGTATTGCATGAGAAATTTGCAGTCAACCGTGAAGCATGTTCCCCCTTCTGAAAGTTTAACATGTGCCGTATCTATCCCATTCCTACAGGGTAATTTCCTATTGTGTTTTCGAATACTACTGAAGTACTTTAACCAAGAGTTTTCAATAATCTTTCTGTATTTTTGCCTATCTCTATGCAAGGTTTCAATAGTTTTCTACAGGTTCGGGACTACACTGTTTAATATATAACCCCAGCTCTTGGTACCGCACTGACCTTCAGTATTTGGTTGCTGAAATCTTCAGTGATCAAAGGGGTTGGTATGATAATTGACCCAGATTAGTAAACTAGGTCCTTTTCTTCCCTACTTTCCCTTAACATCCTGTCCTCACCGCACTCCCTCACCTAAACCTGATGATACTAGAAATGCATTTTAAGTTGCATGTATTATTTACACTGAAATATTCCAATTTGAAGGTTCATCTAAATTTAGGACTATATTCTTGGGAATTGGGTTTCCTCACTCAGAGCTCTGCCATTGACCACAGTGGGCCTTGAATTTCTAAGCTGACCAAACTTAGCCTAGGTTGATTAGCTCTCACTTGTAATTTTTTTTTTTTTTTTTCCTCAGAAAGCAATAACCACAGGGGGTAATTGTGAAGTGATATGCTTATCTTTGGTTGTTATTGCTATGCAACTTGACAAAACAAATACGAATAATTGGTAAAACAAAATGATACAAAAAGATACATGAGACCCAGACAACTTATTGCAAGTAGTTTGGCAAAATACCAGACTAAATACTTTTATAGTTCAAGTATAATGTACAGGTTGAGTGTTCCTTATCCAAAGTGCTTGGGACCAGAAATACTTTGGATTTTGGACTTTTTCAGATTTTGGAATGTTTGCATATACATAATGAGATATTTCAGCTATAGGACCCAAGTCTAAATGTGAATTTTATTTGTTTCATTTATACCTTATACACATAGACTGAAGATAATTTTATATAATATTTTCAATAACTTTGTGCATGAAACAAAGTCTTGACTGCCTTTTGACTGTGATCCTCCACTTGAGGTCAGATGTGGAATTTTCCATTTGTGTCATCATGTTGGCACTCAAAAATTTTGGATTTTGGAGCATTTTGAATTTTGGATTTTTAGATTAGGGATGTTTGACCTGTATGTAACAGTTAACACTTAACAAGCCATTATCATCTCCTAAGCACTTTTACGTGCTTACCTCATTTAATCTTTACAGTGACCCTAGGAGACAGGTTCGATTGTTATTCTCATTTTACAAATGATAAAAATGACTATGACTTTGGTTCACTCACAGCCTGTGAACCTCATTTCTCACCTGTAAAATGTGAATAATAAATAGTACTTGCCATGTCTACTTCAAGGAATTGTTATAAAATTCATGTGAAAATATATTTGTGTACTCTTTCAAAATTTATGTGGCGATTCCATGATCGCCTGTGTATCAGTCTGAGTTCATTCAGGAGGGAAAAAGCCCATGATCATTTGAATAAGGGAAGTTTAAGATAAATAATTATTAATGATAACAGGAAATTGGAATGATGAGGGCTTAGCTAGCAAGAAGTAAAGAGAAGTAAAGAAGTAAAGAGAACTCTAAATACCATAGATATAGCAAGTATATAATAGTAGATATGATAGCCACTACCCCTGGAACTGAGATGAAGCACCCTCCACGCTTACTCTCTGCCCTTAGCTGAGATCCAGACCTTCTTGGAGAGAACACAGCCAGTGGAGACTCACTCTACGGCCGGAAGATTCTGTATTTCCTTACAGGCAGAACTTGCTGAAACTCCAACCTCTGGAAATTACTGGAACTCTGCATTCTAGAACTTGCTGGAAACGCACCCTCTGCAATTAGCCTGCTAGAGTGCCTGAGAAGGATGTTCATAGGGAAGTATTTCAGCAGAGGAACTTTACTACAAAAACTGCAAGAGGGAGGGTGCCAGGGGAAGCTGCCTGATGCTGCCAAAACTGCAGCACAGAAGCCAGCCACTGGAGAGAGCTGCACAAGCTGCAGGAACACCCTACCCAGTAAGCCGGCCAGAAGCAGGGAGCAAAACCTTTTCTTTCTGCACCATCTTTCCAGTTTCCTCTACTGGAAAAGCTTCAGTGCCAGCTGACAAAAGGAAAAATACTTAAATGGCTCAGATCCATTTTCACAGAGCAGTCAATAATGGTGAATTTGGAGATGATAAGCAACAAATTGATGAACTGGCACAACTTCCCTGCTACTTTCTTGATTGTAATGCCTAGATAAGGAATAGGAAAGTTATTGAAATGTATGTGTTCCCATGAAATGTGTTTGTTTGTTGTTCAAGATCAATACTAATAAATGAGGACTAATGTTTGAAGTATTTTGTAACAATAGAATCACTGCTCTAAACCCTGTGGCCAAAGTCTTACATGGACAGGGAGGAAAGTTTTTATAAACTGAAGCAAAAATTGATTTACGTAGAAGATAAATCTGGAATGTTTACTTGGTAGGTGTACTAGTTTTCTAGGGCTGCCATAACAAGTTATTACAATCTGGGTGGCTTAAAACAACAGAAATTTGTTCTCTCACAGTTCTAGAGGCCAGAAGTCCAAAATCAAGGTGTTTGCCAAGACCATGCTCTAGGGGAGAATCCTTTGCTTCTTCCAGCTTCTGGTGGCTCCTGGCATTCCTTGGTTTGTGAGCGCGTAATTCTAATGTCCTCTTCCACCTTCATAAGGCCTTGTTTCATATGACATGTCAAATCTTCCTCTCCCTTTTCTTATAAGTCATTGGATTTCAGGCTCACCCTTAATCCGGGATGATCTCATCTCCAGAACCCTAACTTAATTACACCCACAAAGACCCTATTTCTAAGTAAGATCATATTCACAATTACTGGGGTTAGGACATGGACATCTTTTGGGAGGACACAATTCAATCCACCAACACATTTTTATTTTACTTTGGTCTTTAAAAAGCATATTTTAAGCCGGGTTCAGTGGCTCATGACTGTAATCCCAGCACTTTGGGAGGCCAAGGCGAGCAGATCATTTGAGGCCAGGAGTTCACGACCAGCCTCGTCAACATAGCAAAACTCTGTCTCTACTAAAAATACAAAACTTAGCCGGATATGGTAGTGCACTCCTGAAATCCCAGCTACTCAGGAGGCTGAGGCATGAGAATCAAGAATTGCTTAAACCCAGGAGGCAGAGGTTGCAGTAAGCCAAGATCGCACCACTACACTCCAGCCTGGGCAACAGAGTGAGACTCTATCTCAAATTAAAAAAAAAAAAAAAATCACATTCTAATGGAATATAAATGTTAAAAACTTAATGGTTCTCCCTAGGAAGGCAGGAGAAAAGAAAAATGGTAGGAAATACTGAGATGGAAGAACAGAAGTGTTAAATCAATAAGATTAATATAACTGTAAGTAAATAGTTGCTTCCTTTTATTATCTCAGCTTTTTAAAAAAATTATATAGAGTAATAAAATAATGTATTATGTTTAATATGTTGCATGCATCATAATATATTAACATATTTTAACATATTGCATGGATGTAATATGAATAATAATGGAAAAAAGAGACAAGAGGGAATAGAGCTATAAAAGAGTAGCATTTGTATACCTCAAAAGAGATAATAGAAACATGAAGTATAAGGCTGGGCATGGTGCCTCATACCTGTAATCCCAGTGCTTTGGGAGGCCAAGGTGGGAGGATCGCTTGAGGCTAGAAGTTTGAGACCAGCCTAAGCAACATAGTGAGAACCCTGTCTCTGCAAAGAAAAACAAAAAATAGTGAGGTGTGGTGGCATACGCCAGTAGGTCCAGCTACTCAGGAGGCTAAGGTGGGAAGATCACTTGAGCCCAGGATTTTGAGGTTGCAGTGAGCTGTGATTGCACCACTGCACTCACCTCTGGGAAAAAGAGCAAGACCTTGTCTCTAAAAAAAATTAAATTAAATTTTAAAAAATGAAGTATATTCTGATTAGCTAAGAAGCATATGGCAAACCATCGCGCAACCACTAAGAAAATTTTTTAAATATAGTGGAAAAAATAAAAAATTTTACTAGGAAATATTTACTTAGTACCAAAGAAAGCAGGAAAGGAGGAATAGAACAAAAAAGACATGAGATATCAAAAACAAATTAATATAGTATAATTCCACCTACATCAATACTAACATTACATGTAAATTGATACATGCCACTTCTGTCATGCAGCCTGAGGAACCTTGTGAACCAGCTCATAGTGAAACTGGTGAAAATTATATAAACAACCATCTAA